AACAGAAGAGAGAAAATGACAACAAAATGATGAAGTAAAAGGAAACTGAAACATCCAATGGAACAAAATGAAGTGAAAAAATGAAAATGAAAAAACCACCAAGTAGAAGCTGTAAAAGAAAAAAACGCGGATGAATAAAATGACTTAAAAGAGACAGCAGAAGACAGTTAAGACAGTATTTCATTGAATAAGAAAGAAACCGAGATCTAAAGGAGAATTTTCAAGTTTCTGGTCAAAAAGCAGATGAAGGAGTTAAACAGAAGAGAGAAAATGACAACAAAATGATGAAGTAAAAGGAAACTGAAACATCCAATGGAACAAAATGAAGTGAAAAAATGAAAATGAAAAAACCACCAAGTAGAAGCTGTAAAAGAAAAAACGCCGATGAATGAAATGACCTAAAAGAGACAGCAGAAGACAGTTAAGACAGTATTTCATTGAATAAGAAAGAAACCGAGATCTAAAGGAGAATTTTCAAGTTTCTGGCCATAAATCAGATGAAGAAGTTGAACAGAAGGGAGGAAATTACAACAAAATGATAGTGTAAAAAACTGAAAAATCCAAAGACACAAAACAAAGTGAAAAAATGAAAATTACTATAAATATATAGAAGAAGCTGTAAAAGACAGATGAATAAATTGAAACAAGATCCAAATGGAAACAATCAAGTTCCTTGTGATCAAGCAGATACGAAGACGTTGAACAGAAGAGTGGGAATGAAATCAGGAAAAATGAAATGAAAAACAACCAAGTAGAAGCTGTAAAGAAAAAAACGCGGCTGAATAAATTGACCTAAAAGAGACAGCAGAAGACAGTTAAGGCAGCATTTCATTGAATAAGAAAGAAACCGAGATAAAAATGAGAATTTTCAAGTTCTTGGCCATAAAGCAGATGAGCAAGTTGAACGGAAGAGAGGAAATGACAACCAAATGATGGAGTAAAAGAAAACTGAAAAATCCAAAGATAGAAAATGAAGTGAAAAAGTGAAAATTACTATAAATATATAGAAGAAGCTGTAAAAGACAGATGAATAAATTGAAACAAGATCCAAATGAAACCATCAAGTTCTTGGTGATCAAGCAGATACGAAGACGTTGAACAGAAGAGTGGGAATGAAATCAGGAAAATTGAAATGAAAAACAACCAAGTAGAAGCCATAAAGCAAAAAACGCTGAGGAATCAACTGCTCTGAAACAGCCAAATAAAAAACCCAAATTGAATTAAAAAGAAGGAAACCGAGTTTCAAACGGAAAATTCCAATTAATTTCTACGTTAGTTGACATAAAAATTCTAAACAAATAAAAACAAGGTCGACTAACCAAGCTGATGAACGCGAATAACCCTGGAGTTTTCAAGTAATCGAGCATTTTAGGTGTATTGACATAATGTCCCAGTCACGCAATAATCATGGGTAAATAACGTCTTCAAATAAAACGAATCCGAGCGTTCGAGGAATGGTTGGGCCCAAAAATGTCAATAACTGGCCAAACGAAATCGTCTTCTAGTAATAGAGTTTCAGGTGCTTCGCTCCCATTAGCCGGCCATTAAAATCCACTTTATTCCAAGTGCTCTTCTCGGATCCGGAACGACAAAAGAGTAGCCCAAAGAACAAAAGGGACTAAATGATTCCCGGTAAACCCATGAAATCTTAATCTATTCTGGGCCACATTTCTCAGAATTGAGTCAACAATTCGCTATTTTTTCTCTTTAATTAATGCGCTTTGTTTCCGCCTTTTTATCACCTGCCACTTCCACTAGAACAACGTATAATAAATTCTCAGGCACGTTTTTAATTGTCGCTTGTACAATTAGTTGTTCGCTGAAAATATGAAAGTCTACAATTAATTTCAAAACTCAATTGTTCTTGTTGTGCTGGATGAGCGCGTCAATGGAAAAGTCCATTTATATTCCAGAGTGTCCAGGAATTGTGTCACCATTGCATTGTCGCGTGTGCCAAGTTGCTTTGTTCCTGTTTCCTTGATCGATATTTTCCTTTAATTTTCATTACAGTAGTTCATTGTACCCTTTCACGCAGGGAGTTTGAGTTTTCATTATGTGGAAACTATGGCCAAAGGATTATTTCATGTGAAACCAAACCGAACCAAGGCTGCTGATGGTTATTTATGCCAAATCAGCCAGGCGTTTATTGTTTTTCAACTTTTTCTTTAGTTAATATTCCGGAGGCACATTTTCGCTAAAATGTTCTTACACAGTTAAATGCCTTTGTGCAATCATGCCCATCCGTCTCTAAATGCAATTATTATTCAATTCCTAACACAATTAAGATGCAATCTGACTCCCTGGTAATCGTTCACGAGTTTCACAATTAAACTACAAAAGGTCAGCGTGAATTGCGGGATTTTGTCTTTATAGTTTGTAATTTTTTTGCAATATTCCCCGCTGGATTCGAAGCTTATTTGATAGAGGAATTAACAGGAAATCAAACGGTCATCAATATTATTATGGATTATTGATCAGATAATAAAATTGCTCGAAATGTGGAATTTTTGCTGGATTAATTAGTACCGGGCGCAAACCGAACTTTTATGTTAACTGCACCGTCTCCTTTAAAAATTCGTTTCTCCCAAACTAAGTCAGGCGGCATCTTCCAATTTTCATCATCTGTAGACGACATTTGGTTCTAATGATTCGCAGAATTCCACCA